AGCAATAAAAAGTAATGACATCATTAGAAACTAATTGTTACTAATAATAGAACGTAATGAACTGGACAAGAGTTACCTCCAGTCGATAATAGATGAGACGTGTGATCAGTTAACCTCCACTCATGAGAGCAGAGAGTGGCCCAGTCATACTGATGTACTGAGAGCATTTGCTGTGTTTGATCAGGAGGGGCATGGTAGTATACCAGTACAACAGTTGAAGAGGTTTCTGTTACAAGCACAGCTGGGGTTTCAAGAAGAAGAGCGTGAGATAAGAGAGAGAATGAGAGATTAATGTCTTCTTGTTTCATGTAGTGGAGAAACTTATCAGAGACACTTGTAAGATTGATAATGATAACCAGATCAGTTATAAAGGTGAGGGAGGGAGACCTCACTTAGCTGGTGGGGAGAGAATTAAATACTGTGTGAATTTTGTCTGTTTTGTTAGATTTTGTTGACAATGTTTGGGCTAAATTTCAAGAGATACCACATTGAATCACAAACTAATAATCATCATCATTATTACTTTATACAATGATGTATTTGTTTTGTTTGTCAATCAGTATCTGTCTCTCTTTAAAACTACATTGAATTCAGTTTTATTGTCATTATTAATTATTCTATATATAGCACTCAGTAATTATTAAAACATTTAAACGATTATAATAGAAAGCAATAATTGTCTGTCATTCATTAGTTTATTTTATTAGTACGACACTTTCTCTCCCAGTCCTGTAACTCCTTCCCTCTCTTCTTAATCTCCTCCTCAGTTAGGAGACCTTTGTCTTTCTTTATCACTAAACTCTTCTTGGTTCCTTGTTCCCCCTTCACGTAAGCGCTCACCTCAAGAACCCCGTTAACGTCAAGAGAGAAGGCCACAGGTATCTCAACCTGTCCCCTTGGTCGGGGCGGTAGTCCTGGTACTATAAACCGACCCAGTAGCCTGTTCTTCTTAGCTGTCTTCTCTTCTCCTTCAAAGACTTCAATGGTGGCCTCAGTCTGATAGTCTTCGTTATTCTTATAGGTCCTTGAGTGAGAGTAAGGTATTGTGGTGTTCCGTTGAATTAAAGTACTCATCTTCCCACTGGCCAGTTCAATACCCAGGCTCATCGGGGCCACGTCCATTAGTGTGATACCAGAAAGACGAGAGTTCTTCTCTTCGATGCTCTGAGATAGATTAGCTCCTTGAATAGCTGCCCCCATAGCTACAGCCTCATCAGGATTGATCCGCTTACTGAGTGGTTTTCCTGGGAATTTGTCTGCCAAAAGTTCTTGTATTTTTGGGATTCGAGTAGACCCACCAATCAGAACAACTTCGTCAATACCAGCAGGGGTCAGGTGGGCGTCGGCTAGGGCACGGTCGACCGGTTGAAGGCAGCGTTTAAACAGATCAGAATTGATTTCATTGAACTGATCTCGTGTTAAAGATGATTCGAAATCTTCTCCGTTCACTAGAGCATCAATCTCAATGGCAGCTTCAGTAGAATGAGAGAGGTCGTGCTTCAATGATCTACAACCATCCCTTAACTTCTTCAGAGCTTTATCATTTCTCCTGATGTCCTCATCATATTGCTCTTTGACTTGAGGCATAAAAAATTGAACCAAATTATTATCAAAATCCTGTCCCCCGAGATGAGTGTCTCCACTGGTACTACGAACCTCAAAAACTTGCCCGTCCACTATCAGAACTGTAACATCAAGAGTCCCTCCCCCCAGGTCGTACACTAGTAAGGTCTGGGCTTTGGTTTCGGTTGATTTTTTCTCAATACCGTAAGCAAGAGCAGCTGAGGTTGGTTCGTTAATGATCCTCTCAACTTTAAGTCCAGCTATACTGGCAGCATCAATGGTGGCCTGGCGCTGGGCGTCGTTAAAGTAGGCGGGGACTGTAATGACAGCTCTTGTCACCGGACAACCAAGATAATCCTCTGCAGTCTGTTTCATGTTGGCGAGTACATAGGCTGAGATTTCCTCCGGACAAAGTACTTGTGTGTGGCCTGAAGGTGCTACGTCAGGTTTCAATTGAATGGCACAGTTCCCTCCTCTATACTCCGTCACTGTGAAGGACCACAGCTTGAGTGACTGTTGTATAGCTTCATCACTCAGCTTCCTACCGATCATTCTCTTGGCATCATAAATGGCTGAGGTTGGATGTCGAGAGCCTTTGCTAAATGCAGCCTCACCTACAAACACCATGTCCTTGGTAAAGCAGACCCAAGAGGGAGTGGTCCTCTTTCCATTTTTATTAGCAATGACGACCGGGTGACCATTCTCCCACACAGAGACGCAGGAGAATGTGGTACCAAGGTCTATACCAATGACATGGGTCGGTGGGTCAGGGGCTGGGGCTGGTAGAGGAGGAGGAGGGGTAGGGAGGAGAGAGGGACCAGGGTCAAAGTGAAGTGAGTCTTTCTCTTCTTCTCTGCTGGAGAATAGGTCCCTCTCTTTTCGGGTCGGATCAAAGGCACCTCCTTCTCTCTGTTCCTCTTCCTCATCGTCAATAGGAGGGAGAGGAGGAGGAGTGAAGTCATGAGAAGAGAACAAGTCAAACGGTGGAGTGTCCGCCATTACTGCTCCTCGGGTGATCTTTAATGAGCCACACCTTCAACTGATACCACCCACGCATAATTAATGGCAACATTATGAATAGGAATTTTCTCCTTTTTTGCTAAAAATTGACCAAAATCCCTTTACTAAGTACTGGGACTTTGGAGCATTTTTAAAGATTTGTAAAATGTTCAAAATCAGCTCAACTTTTCTACACAGCATAAGGACATCAATATGTATCGAAAAATGTAATAAAAATTTGGGGTAATTTCGGAGCCATTTTTTGGAAAAAACCATGGGCTATAGCCTTGGGTATTTTTCAGACTTTTGGGATTTTCTTAAAATGGCCATAACTTGAAAAATTGAAGTCAGAATCAGCTCAAACTGGATGTACTCTGTACAAATTTCATTAGCTACAAAATTCAGTTTCACACTAGTACAAAAACAATAATAATAATATTAATATTAGTAACTATAGAATTGTTGATTTGATTTCAAGACACACAAGCTAGTCTCTGTCCATTGTTCAATACTCATACATTGGTAAGTGTGTGTATTGAACTAATCTCTCTTAGCTTTCACCCTGTACTTAACATCATTTATAAGTTGACTAATATTTGAAAAATACTAGAAAGAGAGAGGGAGAGAATTGATTATAATATGACCAGTCCTTACCATTACTAATAGATAGACTCCTCCCATATATAACAATATACTGATCGCTAACACTAGGTCAAGTACTGCTGGCTTCACGCTACATGATGACATCACATTGCATCACAAATGACATCATATGACATCACGTACCTGTATGAGTGCATGATACTAACTGACTGAGTGTATATGACAAACTCAGGATCACTGGAGGAGTGATGACTCATTATGACACAATATGACATCATCATTACCTTTTATCAGGTTTATGAGTGAAGGTGGACACCTCATGAACATAACTGGAGAGTGTCTATAGGAACAGAATCAACAGATCACATGACAATCACATGATACAGTACCTGCTGTAGACTGAGGAGTAATGGATGGTCCTTATTTAATAAAGATTGCTGGGACCGCCCAGTTTGAGATAAATAATTCAACCATGATTGAAGACTATCAGTATGTACTGACTAAAATATTAATTAATAATAATAATAATAATTAATTAATTAATCTTGATGACTTACCATTTGGCCTGTGAAAATTCCACTGGTGTAGTTGTCCTGATTAAAACTCATTAATTATTCATTATTATTAATTAATTAATTACCATCTCATTAATCTCAGGCAGTATGTGCCTCACCACTGACTCAGCAATCAACTGGACACTAGCACTGAGACCATCAACATCAGTACTGTGTAATTAATTATACTTATTATTAATTGATAGCCCCACCCACCTGGTATGGAACATTGATTTCCTTCTGATGTCCGAGTGATGAGAGAAGTGTGATAGAGTACCAGCTGGGACCTTATGGAGTGAGAACCTCTCATGAGACCAAGCTAAAGCATCATCACCAATCCTAATCTTCTTATGATTCAAAGTGACACTGGAAAGACCTGCCACTAATGACAGGGACTTAGAGAGAGAGGGGGAGATGATAAAATTTAAAAGTTAAATAATTCTCTTTTTACTTCGTTCATTCTGGCCACTAGTTCCTGTCCTTTAGTCCCCTCCTTGGGGGGTCTGGAAACATGTAGAAAAATATCAGACCCCCCAGCGAGGGCATCAAGGCATAGCGTGTAGTCGGCTTCACTTAAAAGATACCCATCTATTCATTAATTGATTAATTAATTGGAGGTGATGAATATTAATTAGAACCTGCATCTTCAAGCATGTCTTCAATAAAATATTTGGTTCCAAAATAATTGAAATTATCAGCTCCAGTCAATACAAATAATAAATTGTACTTGGGTTTATGATGAGGATTGGAATATAAACTGAGAGAGAGAGAGAGAGAGAGGGGGGGAAGAATAGTTAATACAAGAAATGACTTCATTTACTTTGAGAAGAGCCTGGCTAGTTCCAAAATGGCTGCCACACCACTACCACCTGAATCACCACTACTTGCCAGCCCCTGTAATTAATAATTAATTAATAATAACAATAATTAATTAATAACTATGCAAACTGACCGGAGCCAATCCAAACGAGTCGTAATGGGTTGTCATGACAACAGTGGGAAGCTCAGACTCATAACCTTGACCTGACAATTTGCCCTAAAATTAAACAAATTAAATTAATTAATTAATTAATTAATTAATAATATAATTATATAATTACTATTATAGTAGTTATCTCAGGGTTAATAATAGGAACTGGTTCTACTGCATCAGCAATCAGTGAATAACCTTCACCAGTAATGGAGGAGAAGAGAGCTAGAGGGAGAGGGAGAGGAGGAGAGAGGGAGATGACATTATTCTTTTCCCTTGTGTCTCTTACCAGCAGCAGCTGATGAATCCCAGTCAACTGATGACGTCAACTTATCATAAACTTCATTTAAATATTCACTTTCTGTCGTTAGATAAACCGGAATTGATATCTCACGTGACATTAACTCCTTTTCTAACAACATCCACTCCTAAACAACAACAATAAACAACAACAACAATAAACTATGATTACTAACATGTAATGTATTGTTATTATTATCATTATTCCTCCAGTCATTGGGTAGTATTATCAGTACAGCTCCTGCTCCTCTCTCCAGTAATTCATTGAATAAGTCGCTGGTTAGTTCCGTCCATTTAATGAGGACACACTTCCTGTTCAACATGGCAGCCTCTGGTGACCGTGCCTCCATGTTAACGACTGCCGAACGAGAACCTGAGACAAAACCACAAAAATAAAAATAATAATAATAATAATAAAGGTGTGCCGTTAAAATTCATCACAACATCATTACTTAATACAACAATATACCAATACTACTATTAATCAATTAATAATAATAATAATAATAATAATAATAATAATAATAATAATAATAATAATAATAATAGTTATACCAATGTGGCTTCCATGTATATCCAGGTGCTGGATGCGGTATATGGTGAAATCTTGAACTGACTGGACACTAGCAGTGATACAGAGGAGAGGGAGGAGGAGGTAGAGAGGAAGAGAACCTTCCAGACTATCAAATAAAGAGAAGAGCAACATCTCTCCCAGTAATGGTGGCAACACGTGATAATTAATATAACATTTATAACTAGCCACACCTCTGAGCAATAAACAATAATTAATGATAATTCAATTTTATGTGATGTGTGTGACCCTCGGTGTGATCTCATTTAAATTAAATTGTTTCAGGGTTGTCTTAAGTTCTTAACCCATTCAAAAATTTGTCTTTTGTAGTGAAGACATGGAACTGTTTATCCACATGGGGTCCTGAGCTTAGGCTGCAGGTATATATGCAGTATTATTTGTACAGTCTATCGTGGGTTGGACTAGTCTCAACTAGGGTTGGACATGAACTGCAGCCTGTGGTTAACTCTTTTATAAACTGGACATGGTGTAATGTACCAATTGACATAACAGCTGCTTTTTGCTAATTTATGAAATAAATTGATAAAATTAAAAAAGACAATCACAGGAACTAAAACAGCTGCACATAAAAACACACACAACACATCAAACAATCACAATACAGTACAGACACAATCACAATACATTATACAGTGAATGGTAACACCATGAAGATTAGAACAATTGAGAGAGAGAAAGTTACTAGAAAATAATGATAATACGGAAATAACAAAAATATTGTACTACTATTGTCCTACTTGGTGTATTTTGGTCGATAGTAATAATAATAATGATAATAATAATAATAATAATAATAATAATAATAATAATAATAATAATAATAATAATAATAACGATAATGTTAATCAACTCCTTCAAATCCCTCAGTGTTCTCCACTGCTAGTTTGAGGTTCTCTTTCAGTCGGTAGTAACTGGGGTAGGGTGGTAGGTCTATCCGATTGAAACTGACAAAAAACAATAAAATAAAAATTAAATAACAAATAAATAAAATACTTTTATCTTACCAAGTGTGGGCTCTGGGCAAGTCATTCTCAGCTCCAAATTTCTTAATACAAAACTTCCTTGGGCCACTGCTTCCTGTTGGTTAGAGAAAGTTTAATCATTGATAATATTTAAATAAATAATATTAAAGTTAGTATTAATGAGAACCTTGTAACTCAGCAAACCCATTCATTGGTACTTTAGATGTTCCAGTCACAAACTGAAGGAGCCTTGCTCTCATTTCATCATCAAAATTTTCCACAGCCTACCCAACAATAATAAGTAACAATAACCTGAGATACACCAGTACCTTCCAGAACCAGACCACAGGGAGATCAGTAGCTGTATATCCACCGGAATACTCAGTGTTCCTCTTCCAGTCACTGACATCAATCTCAGCTAGTCCTCCTAGCAGATACTGGAGGAGAGAGAGAGAGAGAGAGAGAGAAGGTTAAATAATGTGTGAAGTAATAATAATAATAATGGCTGACCTCTAACTCTCTTTCATCAAACACTTTGAGCATATGAAGTGGAATAACATCAGACAGGCCCTGTAATAATATAAATATTATTATTATTATTATTATTATTATTTACATTCCTAAATGCGTTCATTTGTTCCTTTACTCTTCTTGTAAATCTCCATTCAATCATTAAGCTATATTAATTAATTAATAATCAATAAATTAATAATAATAATAAAGTCTCTCAGGCTCATACTTGATATATTCTTTCTTGTTGCTCTCCGTCACTTCAATGTCCTTGCCACCTGGTTTTAACTCCTCTTCTATCACCTAATCAACAACAAAAACAACAACAACAATAATAATAATTGGGGCGAGCCTGAGCTCGCCCCACTAAGGCGAGAAAGCGTTTGTTTGTTTGTTTGTACGGGCAGACCGTCTAACTATTATTAAAGTTAAATAGCCTAATCTTCATTGAAAGCGGGTGTGATCACAATGATAAAATGGCGGCTATAAGCAAGTCTGAGCTTATTTTGCAGGAAATGGTCAGCTAGATAAGACTAAACTGCTGTCTGAAACTTCTCTAGCAAGAATAAAAGTTGGGAGAGCAGATATACAGTCTTTTCCTTGGTATAAAGGATTCTGCTAAGGTGAATGCAAGTGAAAAAGCTTGTACTGTACTGCTAGCTGCATGTATCATGAGATCTATTCTAGGTGATGTTTCTTCTCTAGGAGCAAGCCTAGGTTAACAAAGCAGATATACAATCCTCAAACATGATTTGTTCAGTGAATGCTTCTAACTATAAGCAAGATACGTGTAACTTTAATTTAAGCAAGATGACTGCAACAAGATACTGAATTTAGACATGTGCAATTGCTTTGCTATAGCTCAGACATGTATATCATACAGCACATAATCTATAGCTTGCTTAGGCTCGCCCCTTTAATGTTTTACATTCGTCTAGTAATAATAATAATAATAAATGAGCTCATACTTCTCCAAATATGGTCTTGTTAACAGAGAAGGTCAGACAGAGTGGTTCAGGATCGTTGTCCATTATATATTGAATGCTGTTCTGGAGTTCAACATCAACTGACTCCATGTCCTTCAAAGTAATGGGACGACCAACTATCATCTTATAGAATGGACGAATGAAGAAAGCTAAATAAAATAAAGAGAGACAATCCATTAAAATTGAGCTGGACAACCTTGCTAATATTTATTATCAATAATGTAAATGTGGTAAAAATACAAAGAAGTAGTAGTTGGTGGCTATGCTTCAATTGAATGCTGATATTCTCTTCCGTTACCATCAATGATGTTCTTGTGGTATATTGCCATTCCACAGACCCGACCAATGAACTTGAAATAGTCCAAATGATATTCATTATATACTCCAGAGTCAGGATTGATCTGTAGTGTATAATCATCACTGGAAAAAGAAATAAAATAATAATAATAATAATAATAATAATAATAATAATAATAATAATAATAATAATAATAATAATAATAATAATAATAATAATATACATGTACATGTAAATGTATTGCATCATATATTATTCAAATTTCAATTATTATTATTGATACCTTGCAGAATATTCAAAAAGTCCGTAATAAGGATTGAACATTTCATGAGATAACAAATGAAACCACTCCCTAATCAATTAATAAATTAATAAATTATTAATTTATTATTAATTAATTAATTGCTACATTACCTTGCTAATCCTCCATAGTCTAGTCCTCTCTCTCCGTCAAACTCCACCCACATTCGTCCCTTGAAGCAGGACAGTTTTGAAGTGGGGACTCTTGATATTACGTTGAAGGAGTCTTCAAGAATGTTGGACCGTTTGACCGGTATGGTGAACTTGTTTGCAAAACTGGGCTCAGGTTGCTACAGGAATGAGAACATGTGAATTAATCATTTCAGGAAATAGTAAGAATTTAATTGAAACACAGAGCAACAATCAATGATATTTTAGATTATGACAATTAAAACATGATCATAACTTGAAAAATTGAAGTCGGAATCAGCTCAAACTTTCTACACAGCATAAGGACATCAATATGTATCAGAAAATGTAATAAAAATTTGGGGTCATTTCGGAACCATTTTTCGAAAAAAAACCATGGACTATAGCCTTGGGTATTTTTCAGATTTTTGACGTTTTTTTAAATGGCCGTAACTTGAATAATTGAAGTCAGAATTTGCTCAAACTTTCTACACAGCATAAGGACATCAAGTTAGACCAGTATATGCACATGATGTGACTCACTCCTCTCTTAAGTTGAGTCATAAAGTTATTGTACTTCTGCTTATAATCACGAGAATATTGCATTTTCTAAAAATAAAAATAATAATAATAATAACAATAATTAATTAATTACATGGACTGGTTTGTTAGCTGCCATTAGTCGTGGGTCTTCCCATTGAGTGGACTTTGTGGCTAGTTAATTAATAGTTATTAATAATAGTTAATTAACCAGCACTGACTGTGATCCACAAAGAACACTTGACCATCAGCTCTAGTCTTCATCTGCCAACCAGGCTAATAACAATATTCATAGATCATAAACCACACCCCTTTAATTAACTTTAATTAACTCACTGGTAATGGACCTAGACCAACTGGACCCAGACCACCTTTCTTTGGATGGTCCTATAATTAATTATAATTAACTAATTAATATTCATTGACTCCGCCTACCCAAGTGGTTTTCTTGTTGGCGTGATCAACGTAATACTTCTGTCCTTCTTTAGTGATTCTCACCTCCCAGCCTGGGGGGAGGTCATCGTCCTGTATTTCTAATTAATGTCACACTTGTCAAACTGGTCTGACCTGAAGGACTGGTTGTGATTTTGCTCCTCTCTCCGCCCGCTGTGGCTTGCGTTCTTGCATCTTGGGGCGGTCCTATGGTAGGTGGGGTCAGTGGGTGTGGTCATTACCATATATATACGTACCCATGAGGTCTTCTTGTTGATGTGGTCAACGTAGAATGTCTTACCATCAGGAGCAATGGCCACTGCCCAACCCTGGGGTAACCCTTCTTGCTATAGAAAGAATTATAACAATAATATTTACTAATATTTATTTATTTATTTATTTAAAGTTACCAGTTTTGCTATTTTCAGTTGTTGTGGTGTTAAAGTTGGTCTGGGAGGTATGACGGGGGCAGGGGGCGTGGCTTGAGGACTTGCTGTAGTCTGACTAACAGAACTCTAAATATAAAAAAGTACATGTACCATCAGATACTGATCATCATTCTTACAGTGTTAGGTGAGGGGTCCGGTGCAGGTTCTAATGTTGGGCCTGAGGGGCCCGGTGAAGGTGACCCCTGTGGTGTTGATTCTCTTGAGCGGTCCAGTGAAGGAGTGAAGGGTTCCGGTGCAGGTGGCAGTGGGGGGGCTGAGGGCTGGACCGTGGTCTCTTCCTCTCTCTCATCCTCACCTGTTTCATCACCTGAAGACACCTCCGTCATCTATAACAACAACAACAATAATAATAATAATAATAATAATAATAATAATAATATTATAATAATCTTACATCAATGCTGTTAAGTCGTGGTAGGTAGCTCCTTCCTGTTGTTGGTTGTTGTTCTGGTCGTCTTATGTTGGGTCGTCTTAAAGAGGTTGTCCTTGTGAGATGATGAAGAAACACTCGACGTCCATTAGAATCCTGACATGATACAGTAATTATTATTATTAATTAAAGTGGTGGGCTGTAGGCCCCACCCCTTACCACTCTCCTCTCCCAGCCGCTGGGTAGCCCCTCCTCCTCATCACTGCTGCTGTCAACATCCTCTCTCTCCACCATCTCAAAACCCAATACTGTGAACAAGTTATTAAATATTGTTTTAATTAATTGATCACCTGATGCAAGGTTTTCATCATTATCGTCCCGAGCAGTGCTACCAGAAGTAGATGTGGTCTCCTCGTTGTCATGACGCTAATAAACAAAGCATAGAATAGATTATAATGAATAGATTCACTCACATGGACGTGTTCAATCCTCATTCTTGGTACCACTCTAACACCAGTCTCCTCAATCAGTGACATTGATTCACTCAGATCAGGTGATAGTACGGAATAATGAATGGTCAAATACCCAGTAGGTATTGCATTAATCTGTCTATTAGTCTTGGTATGGTATTCATTTCTTAGCTTTTCAAGAGTGTTCCTCCAGGCTGGTACTTCGCAAAGTAAATTCAACTGCTGCAACACGTCAGGTGAGTACTTGAGATTAATGGGTAGGTTGGTTAGTCGTGTGGCCTGTTCCTCTATCCAGTTTGAGTAGCCGGGATTCTCCCTCACCACAATAGGGAACTGTACAAATGTGTTGGGGCCGGGCAGAGTCACCGGAGGCCTTGAAGTATCAAAGAATAGAAGAACCCGACCTAAATGATCATCCCTAGTCTGGAGGAGAGAGAGGGAGGGAGGAATATTATGAATGTACAGTACATTTATTTCTTTGTGAACTCACTAGAATATTTTCATCAAAAACATCCAAAATCACAGCAAAGACATCAGCATCAAGTATGAAATAAAGTTTTTCATTCCACTGGGGGGACAATGTCTATAAATAAAATAATATTTAAAAACAGTCCCCATGTTTCCCCATGCAGGTACATGAAAGTACATAGTGATGACATGATGACATAATGTTGATGACATACTAGCATAGTTAATTAATTATCTCACCCTCTTTATTGTATGAGTTGAGAGATGTGTCAGAGTTTGAATTTCAGACCTGCTGTCTATTACAAATCGAACCCGAACATATGGATCACTGGAGGAGAGAGAGAGAGAGGGCGGGAGAGAGAGAGAGGGAGAGAGAGGGAGAGACGGTGATTGTGTTGTTGTATAAACTATACCTCAATCCAAAGACGTCTTGTTTCAGTAGATTCTTAGCACCTCTGATGTCAAGGATAAACAACTGGAGAGAGAGGGAGAGAGAGAGGGGGGAGGGAGAGAGAGAGATGTCAGTAACTTAAGTAGAAGAATAACAGAGGGAAGGAGGTGAAGTAACACTAACACACTTTAAAAACAAACCACATCAAGCTTTAATGGAAGCACTAATGACACTGCTTTAAACAAGAGAAAAGGACCAATTGAAGGGAAAGGGAGAGAGAGAGGACATGCTTAAACATGTACATGTATACATGTACATGTACATGTACTGTACATGTAACTCACCTTCGACTGGTCGTTTATTTGATTGTAGTCGACACTGAGTCCAGAGCCTCTGGACAGCCTCAGGCTGTGATCAAAAGACCTCTTGAGCTGCCTCGTTACCATCGCACCAGAACAGGAAACCCTCCACTATCTGACACAGTGACACTGACTGACCTGTAGTAGTCAGGAGGTGCAACTAATTGCTGGTCTTAGGTTGCGTTTACACGGCAACGAAAACGATGCAATCCGTTCAGTTTTGTGCCTGTTTTATGCTTCTGTTTACACAGAAACGAATGAAAACGTGATAGAAAATCTTGATAGGACTCTATGGAAACGAAAACGGTGTTCAAAGTGTATCGTTTTAAAAACGATACGTTTTGCGTTGCTGTGTAAACGCAGCCTTAGGCTATCAACACAGTGATCAAAGGGTTAAATATTGAGTAGTCAAAGGGTTAAAATTCAATGTTTACATTCCCTTGCTTGACGTGTACCAGGCATGAATGGAACATGTTTTACATGTTTTTTAATTTAGTGGAAGATTAACATCTTGAGCTGCCAAGAATCCTCAGGCTCAGACCAAAGAAAAGAAACAGAAGAACAGCCTAGACCCCAGCACCCCCCCCCCTAGGTAACTGAAGAGAGAGAGAGGGAGTTACTATACCTCTGGGTACATGTACTGATGATGGCACTGTTAGTTAGATAGAGTAGCCTCTTCTAACTAATGGCTACCTAATGTCAGGGTACAAGTGTGTTAATGTTCATCATTATTCATTATTCTTATTGACTAGTTGAAGCACATCATGTCTAAAGATGATGGTGGTGACGCTAGTACTGGTACGTTACAACTCAAAGTGAATGAGTTACGTGAGGCACTGAGTAAAGACATGGCTGGCTGTGACTGTCTCCTCTCCTTGTTCTGGTCTGCTCTGTCCTCCTATCGTCATGACACCGTCCTGAGACCGTACCCTAACCAGTTTATACTCAGTAATGGAGACAAGGATATTGATGGACTGGTGAGTACCGTATAGCTGGAAATATTTGCGGGGAATTAAATTTTGCGAGTTTGCGATTCCATTTAAAGCGCAAAATTTAAATCCGCAAAATAATGAAATTCATGCATGACCACAGTAGATAATGCTACAATAACTGTCAAAACCGCAAATATTTAATCCGCAAACCAGGTTATTTTTAAGGATTCGCAAAATTTTTCTCCGCAAAATTAACCAGCTGTACGGTATATTAATATCAATAAAATTATTTATTCATTGATTCTCGTTACTCATTACTCCGCCCACCATATTTAATTACTACTTGCTCTGCCCACATCAATTAATTTTAAATTTTTTGGCTGTGAACATGTACATGTATTGTGTAACAAATAGATAATTAGATTTTGAAGAAATTCATATTTTTAATGGATCATTTTAATCTACTGTACATGTACATGTACATGTATTTCTCCTCTTCTTTCCAGAGAAGTGTTTTCAAAACCTTACCCGGTCTTAATGAAGTAGTGCAGCAGCTGGACTCACTGGATGATAGAGTCATCACGTTACTCTACGACATTATTTGCACCAAAGGATTTAGACTCTCTTTTAAACCTGGAGACAAGGTGAGAGAGAGAGAGAGGGTAATTTTTGAAGCTGTTTAAGTGGCTGTACTGCTTTGATGTACATGTACATATTGAAGCAGACATTTAATAAGTAATGAAATACTTCCTCCTCCTCCTCCTCTTTTTTCTAGTTTTCTCTAATTGAGTCTCAGACCTCAGTTCCTGCCCATAAAGTTCAGCCATATTGTTTCTTTGAGTTGCAATATTCTTCAGAAAGAGAGGAGAAATGGCAGAGGACAGCCTCAGAATATGGAACCTTCTTAGCCTATCACGGGAGTAGAATGGAGAACTTTCACTCGATCGCTCATAACGGACTCCTCAGTCACATGAACAAGGTACTGTGGAGCCACACCCAAATACCTAACACCACCCACTCATTTAATTACCACTCCTGTGACCTGTGAGGCTGTACATGTACATGTGTATTGATATTTTAATGAAAATGTTCTCGTGTTTTTGTTTGCCAAATCAACCCAACAATACAATCACTGATTGAATGATAAGCCAAGAGAAGACAATAAAATACACTGTATGATAGTAAGTGGAGTCACTTACCAACTTTCATTATGCTGTTTATGCCAGCGATAAAACAATGTATTGTTATTATTATTGTCATTAAATTTTAATTAAAGTTGGTATGTTTAGTGATGGAACTGATCTTGTAAATTATTAGGAAATTTCAGTAGTTGTGTAGCTGTGCCTTGTCATTTTTAGAGAAACTTTTAAAAATTGGTAAAAAATCCAAACTTGATCGGAATCAGCTCAAACTTTATACACAAGATAAGACCATGTATACATATCAGGAAATGTAATAAAATTGAGGAATTTTCTACTTGTCAATTTTGGTGAAATTTCACCAAAATCCCTGTACTATAGTACAGGGACTTTCCCTCAGTATTTGATCAACTTTAAAAATTTCTAATAATCTAATTTTAGTTAGAATAAGCTCAAACTTTATCTACACATCAGAAAAATTAATTAAAATTGCGAAATGCGAATCATCTCCAAACCATTTTTAATTTGGCCATACATGATGTTCCTTGTAGTACAATAGAGACAATAGTAATGTTCAGAGTGAGCCAGCAGTTGTAGATTAATCCACTGATTGACCGGCAGGCCAAGAGAAGACAATGAAGTGGACTAGTAAATAAAGTCACTGACCAACTTTCAATTGTAGTTCATGCCAATAGTTATTGGACTGGCTTCCACTTCCTTTTCATGATATAATATACATTCTTGTCTCCATCAAGTATTGTTCTATTATGCTTACAGTATTCGACCAATGAAATTGCAGTATTCTACGTAGCTACGTTATTTTTAATTATACATCCGTCTCATTAGAAGATAATGTAACTTACTTTAATTGAAATACTGTTGATCATTCTTATACTGTCTTTAACTCTCAGTACATCAAACTTACTGTATAATATCTATCAGGATTTAATTTCATTTTTAATTTCATTTTTTCCAAAGGTCGGTATATTCGGAGAGGGTACGTACCTCTCCACTGATCTCTCAGTCTGTATGAACTTTAGTCCCTCAGCCACCAGCTGGACCAAGAGCTCTCTCCCTCCATTGTGTAGCATGATGGCTGTCTGTGAGGTGGTCTCCCACCCTGATATAAGGTGCGGCAAGGGGTCTTGTAATATTATCTTGCAAGGGGTCTTGTAATATTGTTTTGCAAGGGGTCTTATATTGAGTGCATTGCTGCTAAAATTTGCTACTCACCAAAATCAGAATTTTTGTCTACCATTATATTCAACATTATTCAAATTTGCCCAATTCTTTAAATTCACAAAACTTCTCTGTCTTTCAGGTCTAGGGTACAGCATGGCGGAGAACCTTCCATTAATCAGAAAGTGCCAGAGAGATACTTTGTGGTGACCAATGATGAGATGCTGAGAGTTAAGTACATTCTTGTCTTTGCACAAGAGAGAGGGAGACCAAGGTAAGGGAGGGAGGGAGAGGGAGAGGGAGAGAAGGAGGGAGGGAGGGAGGGAGGGAGGGAGAGAAGGAGGGAGGGAGGGAGAGAAGGAGGGAGGGAGAGAGAGAGAGAGGGAGGGAGATGAGTGTCACTAGTACTTTTGGAACTGGTGGAATTATTTTTGGAAAATTGATGATTGGCTAGTTTTAATTTGCTGGTTGGTTTTATTATCGCTATAGTCTATAGTGGCTGTCAAAATACCAAATTAACCAAATTTTTTCTCTTCAAAATTATTGAGGATATCTCTGTTTTATTTCTATTTTGTGTAGTCCTACCAGACGATGGTTTTCCAACCACAAGTGGGTACTGATGGTCTTTCTCTACCTGTTCCTTCTCCTCTTTCTTGGTCTGTGGAATTCTCGTTATGTCTCAAGACTTTATAACCAATACACAAGAAGATATATAACACTGTAGCTAGAGTACATCTTCATTTATTATCATAGAATGTTTGTGAATTTTATTTATACTGGGTAATTAATAATAATAATAATAATAATAATAATAATAATAATAATAATTTTTGTTTTTTTTTTTTTTTAATGTTTAGGGCTTCTCCCTCTTTCTCTTCGCCCCTCTATATCCCTCCCCTGTTCCTCCCCTGTCCTCTTATAACAATAATAATAATAATAATAATAATAATAATAATAATAATAATAATAATAAATTACAGATAATTAATTGACTAACCCTTTTGCTATAAAAAGGCTCCCCAAAGTGCTGAACTTTGTCCCTGTAGCCATCCTTGTTCTGGAGTGAGAGGAGAAAGAGAAGGAGAAAGAGCAATCATGGCTTTAACGGGAAAGAAAGTGGCTCCAATGGAAACTGATGACCTGATGCAAGAGATAGCTACCATCAAGGCCCACATTGAGCAGGTGAGGGTCCAGAAGAGAGAGAGGCTGAGGACTATGGACTTCTTTTGCTTGGACAATTCCATTCGGGAGAGCACCGTGGGACAACTAAGAAGCCATACCCTCGAGAACAAGCAAGAGATCTACCGCAACGTCAAGAAATGCGGGATCAAGGACATCATTGTTGCATCTTTTGCAACATCTAAGATGCAGACACAACGAGTTGATGATCTCTTTGTCAATTGGCTAAAGGAACAGGGGGAGGATTTCACCTACTTCGTTTCCTTCTCTGAAATCACCAACGGGTATGACAAAAATGGTGGCTATGATACCAAGTCAGTCCCAATTGGTCTCAGGAAGAATAAAGAGTGGGGCCTCATAAACACATTCTTTGAGTTTGATCTCACAGATAAAAACATTCAATGGGGCACAAAATTCACTGTCGATGACATGTGCCAGCTCCTTAAGAAGAGGATAGACGAAGTCCGTGCGTATACTAAAACTGGCAGGATCCTCCTCAACTTCCGTGACTTTCCCCTTGCAATGAGAGATTACCCTGATCGTGTCCTCTACATTGTGAGGTACCTCTCTCGTCTTCCTGAAGGAAGTCGCATGTTTGCCCTGTGCTTTGAAGACCCACTGGGAGAGTACCTCCCTGAAGAGCTGGAGGCATGGACTGCCAGTATGCGTAGGGTCATGGACTCCAACGGGTTTTCTGATGGAAAGATATTGGTCCACATTCATCAGAAGTGGGACCTTCAGACTGCCTCACAGCTGGACTGCCTCAGTGCTGGAGCTGATGGTGTTTGGGCTAGTCTCTGTGAAGAAGGAGCTGCTGTTGGACACGCTTGCTCCTCCGTAACAATGATGAATCTTATTCGTTTGGGTAACCAGAGGATACTCAAGAAATACAACTGCACCCAGTTCAGGAAGGCAGCCATTGCAGTCACAAAGCTAACAACAGGGAAGATGCCTCATCCTAAGCAGGTGGTCTATGGGGAGAGGTCCATTGATTTGGTGTTTGGGTTCCTTGGGGTCGGAGACTTTGATCTTGCAGAGTTTTTTGGGGTAGATGCTCCAAATCGTATCACCACTCTGGCAAGTACTGACATGATCTCTGATCGCCTCGTTAATGTGTTTGGTGATAATTCACAATTCAAAGACAAATACATTCTTGATAAGATGAAGGAGCAGATGCTGGCCGACCTGAGGGGTGGGACCAAGGAAGAGTACCACAGTCCAGCTGGTATTGCTGCACTCTTTGATCGCTCCGGAGGGAAACTGACCCCAGAAATGGCAAAGGTCCTTGAAAAAACGAAATTGAGTGCAGTCCATCATGACAACCTTATTGCTGAGGTTCGTAAAGAATGGGACTCTTGGGACACAAAAGAGCAAGGGGGCAACAGAGGAGATGGACGACTTGAATTTGATTCTTTCTATCACGCATTCATGGCTCCTTACTTTGGCTGCTACAGGTGCGGTATGACAAAGAAAGGTCTCCAGGCTATTGATATGGATAGCGATGGCTTTGTTGACTGGGTTGAGTTCCTAGTCTACATCAAGTGGGCTCTTCGTCAGTATCCTGATACTGAAGACATGGACACACTACTTGAAATTGTCTTCCAAAAGGGAGTTATGCCAGCTATGAGGGATGAGAAGATCATGAGGCAAAGGAGTGGAGTCAAATCCTCCTGCTGAGTCATTCCAGAACATTATTAGATAGTTCCTTTAAACTGTATTATAGGTTTATTAGTTTATAGTATAGAGAGAAACTTAGAGCTAGGCTAGTGTCTAGCAACAATTATTATGATTTTAGATCGTGATTTATTTTCTTTGATAAAAAATTTGCTCCTCAATTTGATGAACATGAAAAATCCAGCTAGCAGCTTGCAGCCAGCTCCACCCGAACTGTTTGCAGGCAGCATCAAAGAAGCTATTTTGATTGGGTAATGCAGTTAAAATTATTATAAGAAATGTGAATGAATGAACAATGGCTGCTGGACCGGTAATGAAAGATGTAGAGCGGCTAATCTCACGGTGCGAGGAGATACTGGGAGACAAACTTAAGATAAGAGGACAGGAATGGCGCATTGTAAAGGTATAGGTCAATAAATAAATAAATAAATGAATAAAATTATTAGTATGTAGAAACATTGACAAGTCGAATAAATGAATTAGAAAATACTAGTAGTTTATCACAGTAAGTTTGTTGTTGTTTATTTGTTGTTGTTATTGTTGTTGTTGTTTATTGTTGTTGTTGTTGTTAGAGTTTGTTTGGATCAGTTAATTAGTTTCAAGGGACGTCTCACAATATTACAAGAAGTAGCGAATGAAATAAAAGACAAACTAGAGAGAAAGAAAAACGAAGAAAGTAATGAAGAGTAACTAGACCACAGACACTTGTACATGAAGCAGAAGCTGCTATTGTAGACAACCTTTGGTTCCTTTGATATAAGAGGCAATGATCCTATTGCAGTATTTCCTTCATTAAGCTAGTCTGTAGGAAGCTTCATAAGGCCATTAGCTACTCGTGATGTTATTACATTATTAAACGAATTAGCAAACTTTTGTACTATAAATGAGCCCACACTATCAACAAGGAATCCTCTCTTTACTATTAATTACTTTATCTGTCTATGTCTGTAGCTTCATCAGCTCCTCACGACTCACATCTGACCTCTTCCTCTACCACTGATGTACCCAATCAACGGATCCTTAACGACACCACCATGAGAGGGAGTGGCCTGCTAAGACGTTCAGCTACCAAGAGCTCTCAAGCCATGAGAGAAGAACTGTTCAGTCGAGTGAGGGAACATAATGAACTGAATCATGTACTTTTGTTTGAACCAAGTCCGGTCAAAATTAGAATTGTTACAAATTTTAGAGTTGCTTCTACTATGCTCTGTGCTATGGTCTGGGGAAATTTTGCTAAAATTGAAAAGGATCCGATACATTTACATGCACTTATGTTGTGTAGAAACTTTAGCTCATTTTGATGAAATTTGAATTTTTACGAACTTTTAAAAAATCAGGCCAAAGTCCCTGTACTATTATTCTTCACTTTTGATACATTTTCTGATGCATATACTGGTAAATGTTCTTAGATTCTGTTTCCTTTACAGCAAGAGTCCTTAAAGTCAAGCAGCACTTCAAAGACACTGAACGAGAGAGAGATGATGCAAGCAATGGCTGACCATGAGAAGCAGCAGGAGAGGATAGCCCAGGATATGATTGAACTGAGCAGATCATTAAAGCAACAGTCACTGGCAGCAAGAGACATCATTAAGAGTGACACAAAAGTAATGAGAGAGATAATGGATGCATTAAAATCAATTATCTTTTTTTATATGAATTTTTTGAAAGGTTCTAAAGAAGACTTCAATTTCAGCTGAAGACAATATAAGTGGAATGACACAGGAAACTGACAGACTGAAAGAAAAGAGCAAGGGTTGCTCCTGCTGGGTATGGATGATGCTGATAATAGTGTTCATTGTCTTCATTCAAATGATAATGTTTATCAGACTCTATCCTAAGAGAAGATAGTTGTTATTAAAAACAAACAAAACACATTAAAATTGATGTCTTTCATCATTAATTTATACAATGTAAATAATGTAATTATGTTCACAAATAAAAAGAAAGAAATATAATTATTATTATTTCATGAAATTAAAGAATTGTTGAGCACAATTTGACACTGTTCAGCAACATGACTGTATAAAAATATAATTGGAGCTCTGGAGGGGGAGAGAGGGAGAGCTTATGTATTTTTTAAGTTTAAGTTCTCACAAACTTTTTTGCTGTCCTCTCTTGAATGGCATCACAAACCTGAGTGATGTACTTCTTCCCAAAAGAAGGAAATCTGTAGGAAACAAACGCATGTAATTTTATTATTATTATTATTATTATTATTATTATTATTATTATTATTATTATTATTATTGTCAGTCTATACTATACCTTTCTGTCAATAGTTTTATAACTGATGTGTGATCACTTTTAGATTGACTGATTGATTTCTAAATAATAAAACAATGTAGAAAATAAAAAAGTTAAATAATTAATTAACATACGTTAATCTCAACTGCAAGCTGGCACAATGCTTCTAGCTCAAAATCAATCTACAAATTAATTAATAATTCAAATAAATGAAGCAGCTGGACTCACTGCTATTATCTCAATCGGTGATTTGGTAGGCAGTTGGGTCAGTAATGGAGACAGTTTTGCTAATATCTATAAACACACAATATGAGAATAACAACAACAGGCTAATATGTAATAACATGTAAACAACAACAACAAACAACAAACTACTGTATATTCTAAACAACAACAGACTGTATATATTTGGACTGGGTCATTGGATGGTGTCCCCCTCTGGCTATCATCACATCAACAAAGAAAAGATTATTCACATACAGTACTAGTACATCCATTGAATAAAAGTTTAATTGAATTTATTTTATTATTATTATTATTTCATGTGTCATGTGTATATTCGTATATTTATTCACATGACTGTCGTATCTTCTTTTAATGTTCCCGGCTACTTTTTGTCTGCCAATTGTAGTAATGGTGACAGCTGGCAGTGAACTAGCGTCTAGAGGAGACGAGAAGTAATTATAAACTATTTATTATATTTAAAGCATCATCACTCCACTACTACCACAGTCTTAAACAGAAGCCCGGACAGGGTCTTAATTATCTTTAACTAGTAAACAATAATGCTTGTACATGTACTGTAGGTGAGGGTTCTCCTACAGCTCATATTACATTAATGAATGTGGCCACCAAAAAGGATTCTAATTAAAATTATAGACAGACTGTTCTTTATGAGGATATGGTTACCTCACCTGTACTGGTGGCAGCAGCTGATGATCTACTGGCCGATACTTGAGGAACTCCTTCAGTGGAATCACTAGAGAAGACACGTAGTTATTATTATTAGTATTTCATTTCATTATTAAAATTACTTTCTCTCAATTGAGTGTTTAGGTATAATGTACTCAATCAGTTCCTGTATGTTACTGACAACCCTCTCTGATATCACCCTCCCTTTATCAGTATCCAGTGACCGCAACTTATACTAGCAGGGAAGAGGGGGAGAGAGGGAGAGGAGGGAGAGATATTAATCATTATAAATGTATTCCCCTACCCACAATACCTGGTTCCTCAATAGCAGTGAGTTGTCTATTATGATGAGGTGTGGTATGTGTCTCCTACAGCAGAAGTCCTGTAGGTCCTCCAGCTCCAGGTGGTGGTAGAGGTGATCCACTAAGAGTCCTTTGAGGTCCCTCAGGTCCTGGACCAGCTTCAGACACTCGTCATGAAGAGGAATATCAGGATTTAATGAACAGACTAGCCCCTGACACTTACTCAAGGAATGAGACAGGAGGCTCTGTTAATTAAGTGTGTGGGTGGAAAGAAAAGAGATCAATAAAATTTAAAGGTACAGCCCACTTTAATTAATTAATTAATAATAATAATAAAAGAATTACCTGTCCAGTGTCCACGTAAGTCTTACAGAGAACCTTCACTAGGACCTCCTCATTAATGGATACCC